CTGTTCAGTCGGTGGATCCAGCCTCTTCCCATAATAAGATTATAAGAATGATGGATCTCTGTTAGAACAAAGTTCTCATTCAATGTTCCTTTTACCCCAGTGACGGATAAATCAATTACCCCTAGGGGTTCTACCTTCGTGCCATTAAACCCCATCAAGGGACTGGAGGTGGGCCGAATTGATGATGATGGGATCTCTAACTGCTCAAAGACCGCCTTTGTGATAATATTGGCGCTATTACCCAGGTCTATCAGAACCATTTTAATCATGTAGTTTGCCACCAGAAGGCTGATGACTAGTTGATCCTCGTGGGGGAGTTGAACTCTAGATAAATCTGCATCGCCGAACCTAATACTGATACTGCCTGAGGTGATAATGTTCACCAAGGACAACTTTCTTAGCTTATGGGCTAACCTCAGCCTGGATCTATATACTTCTTCCAATTCTTGGTTATCCTTTGATCTCCTATGTATTGCATGGATGACCTTCACTTGATTACCATTTACCCTCTGAGGATTGACCTCCCGAGGCTTTATGTACTCCTTTGCTGTGAGCTAGTCTGCCAGCTCACCCCTAATTATCATATTTTCCACTTGCTACCTAAAGGATCTGCAATGATTGGTTGTATGCCCATAATCTCTATGGTAGGCGCAGTGCTTGTTCATATCCTTATGCTCCAAGGGTTGTTTCATTGGCTGAAGGGCTACGAATTTCATCTTGTTTTCTTGGAATAGCCGAGCCAAGGTGGTGCCAAGGGGTGTGAACTTTTCCTCTATCCTTTGCCTCTTTCAGGTGCCTGAGTGACCGGTGCTGAGGCGTACTGGCTTTTCTAACTTTTCAAATTTGACACCTTTTCTCGAGGCTTATTCTCTACTGTGATGAGGGTGGCATATTGCGTTCGGTGGGCTATATTCTCCTCAAGTTGGATGTAGATCTATGCCCTAGCTGTGACGACCCAAGTTTTTCAACCTGGTGTGTCAATAATGAACCGAAAGAATGACCCGATAACGGATCCAAAATGCAGAAACGAAAGAAAAAAAATGGCCACTAGAGATGTACATCATCCCTAAGGCACCAAAATGACTCCCCATGAAGCCATGGAACTCAAATGAGCCAAACAAATGAAGCAAGAAGGCCTAACCTGAAAGGAAGTGAACCAAGGGTAAAATAGTCATTTCAAACTGAAATGGATGCTACCGGGTATACCATTGGAAGGACAACAAAGAGTGAATGAAGTTGGACTCAAGAATCGCCTGATTCAGAGTCCAAACGGAAAAGATACAAAGAGAATAAAACGCACCCTCCGTTTAAGAGATGTCATGCACCTATCTCACTAAAATAAAAATAACTCTCACTATAGGTAGAGTTTTGAAATGTGGTTGGTACCATTGGAAATCCAACTTCAAGCTCTTGAACTTAGACTCAAGAACAAAGGGCTCTGAAGTTATGGTACTCTGAAGTCGATGTAAGGATTAAGAATGAAAAAGTTATGGTACTCTGAAGTCGATGCAAGGAAACTGCCCAAGGGAAATGAAGTGAGATGCTTCCAGGGAGGATCGGTCGACCAAAGGGCTCTCATCAGCCGGTTGAACCTCCATCGTCGGTCGGCTAAACCCCAATCATCAGACGGCCGAAATGATGAAAATCCTAAATTTGCTACTAGACGCTCCTCGAGCATGTGGTAGTCAGTTAATGGGCTTCATCAGCCAACTAACGCCTCTGCTGTTGTAATTTAAAAGCTGCTGTAGAGTGTGCAAAGCTTACCCTATCTAACTTTGATGCTATGCATGTATTCTATTTGATTCATAATGAGTTTAAACATGATTCCTAGCCTCAATGAAGTATAAACAACATGCAAAACCAGAAAGAAACTTGAAACTTACTCCTATACATGAATTTTTGTATAAAATCCATAAATCTTTCCATAAATAGTTCAAAACTTGTATCTTGAGAGTTTTATGAAATGTGAGCATGTCGGCAAGTGTAAAATGATGTTTTAGACGCACAAAAATGGCCTACAGCCCCATTTCAATCCATTTACAAAAATTGGCCTTTCAACCCCCATTTTCATAAAATAGGCAATTAGGGCAAACACAAGCTTTAAAAGTATACATGTAAACTTGAAATTTAATGGCCCTTGGCCTCATGTTATACATACCAAATAGCCTCCAAAATTATGCTTAGATACACATTAAATGTCAAACAAGCCATCTTAGCTTACAAAATACCATACATCCATGGTAAACAAAATATATAACATCCAAAAGTAAGCATGCTAAGCAAGTGCATTGTGAGGACCTGCATTTTTATCATTTTTTTTTGAACATTTTAGCATTCATGCATTTTATTTTTTATTGTCAAAAATATGATTATTTTGCAAATGTGAATTAAACATCATTATGTGTTAAGAAATATTATAAACTATGTTATGCAAATAGCATATTTGTCAATTAGTATTTCATAAAGGGCATTATGGAATTTTTGTTTTACAAATGGAATACATGGTATTTGATAATTTGATCAAGGGCAAAGTAGACTTTTACTATGCAAAATAGCATAATTGGCATTTGGTTAGTTGTGAAAGGGTATTCTTGTCTTTTATCATGCAAATGGCATGAATGGTATTTAGTAGGAAATAAATGGACTTTTGAGTCATTTCTTATGATTTTGGTTTTAATCCATGGAGGGGATGACATGTGTAGGTGTATGTGGTTGCACCATATCCATTCATTTTATAACATATAGTATTCCTAGTGTTTTGTTCTTAGAAACCATTTTGGCAAAACCCAATTTTCGTGCATTCTATTTCCTTTCCATAGTGATACCTTTTAAGCTAAATTTTGGAAGCTTTGTGTTGGGATTTTGATGGGTCTTTGTGAAGGAAAAATGTTCCTTAGATAGTGAGGGTTCTTTTGATATCAAACTTGAGTCCATTTGTTTTGTTGCTGGGTTTGGAAAGTGGTGTTAAACGAAGAGGGTTTTGGTTGCAAACAAAGAAGGAAAGTGTTCTTCACCTTCTAGTTGCTGATTTTGATCCATTTTTGGTGTGGTTTTGAATTGTTGAGCAAGTGTTCAAGCTTCCCTTGAGTTAGGATTGTCTAACCCTCAATTCCTTTGCCTTTAGTGAGTTATCTCTTTCAATTTGAGTTGCAAAGTGTATAAACAACCTAAGCTGATGCTGAAACTGCTTGGCTGAAATTGCATGCTGCTATTTTGCTCTAATTCATATAAATTCGTAATTTATCATTCAGAGATGATTTAATATTATGATAATATAGTGAATTAGCTTTCATTTAGAATTGGTTTCACATAAATTGGTTGAGAAATGAATTTACCATGAATTTTTGAAGTTAGAGGGTTCTTGCTGGGCATTCTGGGTTGGGGTAGATTCTGTCCGAGATTTTTTCATCAAACCTGCTTTAGATGGTATGGTATTTTGATGAAATAAAATTTTATCTTAAAAATATAGTATTTTAAATTTCAGTGGCCTTTGGATTCACTCCATTTGGATAAAAATTGAATTTACTATGAATTTTTGAAGATGGAAGCTACAGGCTGGAAATCAGTGTCTGACAGATTTTTATTTCGAAATTGTGGATTAAAACTGTTCCAATTGGGAAGGTATTTTGTTAAACTAAATTGACACTTTCAAATCACATTGTTTAAGCTTTCATTAGGCTTTGGACTCACTCAATTTGACTTAGAATTGAATTTGTTATGAATTTTCAAAGATGGAAGCTACAGGCTGGAAATCAGTTTCTGGCAGATTTTAGTTCAAACTTTTGGGTCAAAACTGTTCCAATTGGGAAGGGATTTTGTTAAAATAAATTGACACTCTCAAAGTACATTGTTTAAGCTTTCATTAGGCTTTGGAATCACTCAATTTTACTTATAATTGAATTTGTTATGAATTTTCAAAGATGGAAGTAACATGCTCCATGTGAACTGTTTACTGTTTAGCCTTGACTTATAATTGAATTTGCTATGAATTTTCAAAGATGGAAGTAACATGCTGCATGTGAACTGTTTACTGTTTAGAAACTTTGGAATATGACACAAATGTGCATTCATCTTGCATGGTCATGGGGTTAAGGTTAGAATGGAAAGAGGAAGTGAAAGTTCAGTAAAATGATTTTGAAAACCGGATAACAGGGAGGTGCCTTGTATCCATGAGTTAGGAATGTGGGATTGATTCAATGATTTCAAAACTGGACAAGGAGTTGCCTTGTCTGTGCAGTTAATGGAAATCTAGAGAAGACGTAGGAGTTTCCTACACATAATTATGTCACTAGGCCCCAAATGATTACAAGGAGTTGCCTTGGATCAGGGACAGATGATCAATTCTCTTCTCGTGGTACAGGGAGCAGCTCTGGCCAGATTACATTAACTTTTTGTGATGGAAATTGGATTTTGGGAAGTGAGAAGTGTCTGTGGCATTAGCATTAGCATCCGCATTGCATGGCACTTCATTTTATTATCCTACATGACATTAGTTCTTTCCCGAGTTTATATGATCCCATTATCCTTTATCTATTCTTTGTTTGGATTCACGGAGGTATTAAGGAGTGCGCTTTAGGCAATTCCTGCTGAGCTGTGGTTGCTCATTCCTATCTTATTCACATCTTTTCAAGTCATAGCATGGATGGTGTGGAGGGTGTTCCTCCTCAGCTGTAGACAGAGTCGGGGCTGGTGTTGTTGTGTTATATTCCGCATAATAGACTATGTTTTGTATTATATTTCCTAGAATTTTCCTGGCATGTAATAAATTTTCTTTCAGACTTTAAAACTTTAAAGTTTTAATATTTACATCTTATCTATTTATTTTCAATCTTGATTTTATAAAGAGAAATAGATAGGTGGATGTGTGGTTCAGACAGGTTACAGGGATATTCAGTGATTTTGAGACTATGATTATTTGTGTGTTGTGTTCACAATCTGGACTACGGTCTTGGGGCGTGACAGTTATGGTATCAGAGCATGGTTCCTATAACCTAGGGACGATGGGTAGAGGTCTGTCTACAGCTGTGTGTGTAGGGGCTTGCATTGTCTTGTGTGCTTACATGTTTATCTGGTATTTGTCTTATAAGCATGCTTATGTGAATATGTGATTATGTGTTGATTACGACAAAACATGCTATAGGTTTTATGGCTTTTATTCATATGAGTCAGTTTGGGACTATGGATAGTGACATTGTTATTGATGTGCATTTCATTGTAGTATGCCACCTCGTAGGAAGGACAAAGCACCGAGAGGCCAAGAGAGTGGGCCTGTAGTTGGACGGTCTGGGGAGAGTTCTGCATTTCACCCTATGGGACAGGGAGGTTTGCCACCGCTGGTGATGTCTGCAGGGGAAGATGAGACAAAAAGACGTCTCAAACTTATCTCCATATTTGTCAGGCTCATGCCTACACTGTTTGAAGGTGGGACTGATCCGTTGTTGGCAGATGATTGGTTTAACCCGGTGGAAAAGCATATTGATGCTCTGGCACTTGAAAATGATTCTGTGAAGATTCTGTTGGCTACCTACAACTTTACTAGGGATGCCAAATTGTGGTGGAAGTTAGTGTCTATTAGAGTGGACGTGAAGACATTATCGTGGGATGCTTATAAGGAGTTATTTTACAATAAGTTCTTTCCTACAACTAAAAGATGGGAGCTGCACAAGGAGTTTATCTCTCTGTTCCAGAACAATTCTATGACAGTGACAGACTACGAGAATAAATTCACTTCTCTTTCTCGTTTTGCTTCAGAGATTGTAAGTAAGGAATCAGATAAAGTCCATAAGTTTGTAGAGGGACTCCATCATCAGATTATGACTTTTGTGGCAGCACAGTGCCTACAGACTTATCCTGAGGCTGTAGAAAGGGCATTGATTGTTGAAGCTGAGCTGAATGATAAAAATCAAACTCGGGATCAGTGGAAGCGAGACGAGCCAGTGGTTCAGGGGCTGAGGGTCAGTCTAGCAAGAGGCATAGAGGGGTTCATCTAGGTCCGGAGGATAGCAGTCAGGCCGACCTACTCCTTCGACTTCCGTACCATCAGGAGCAGGTAGGAGTGAGGTTATATATTTCGGATGTCAGCTGCCTGGTCATTATGTGTCTGATTGTCCACAGTCTTTTTCTACGAGAGCTTGCTTTGGATGTGGGCAGCAGGGCCACAGGGTTAGAGACTATCCGAGGAGGAGTGGTGGCTCAGGTAGAGGTTCTGGTAGTGGTCGTGGTACATAACAGAGACCATTTCAGTCTGCTACAATACAGTCTGGGTCTAAACCACCACAGCCAACTTCATCTTCACGGGGATCGAGACCAGTTGGGAGGGGTAGTTTTACAGGGACTAGTCAGCAGTCCGGGGTTCAGGCTGGAGGTTCACAGGCTCAGATATCCCAAGGCCGAGTGTATGCACTTCTTGAGACATCTTCAGGACCGTCAGTGGTGAGGGGTATGTTTCCAGTCTTTAGATCTTGGGCTCGTATTTTGTTTGATTCTGGTGCATCTCATTCATTCATTTCATGCACATTTGCACTTGCATCAGGATTGGAGGTTGGCTTTTTGGACCGAGTGTTGAGTGTTGATACGCCAGTCAGTGGTTCATTAGTTGTGAGCAGAGTGGTGCGAGATTGTGCCATTGTGATTGCTGGGTGGACTTTGGTTCTTGATCTTATCCTTCTTGAGATGACAGGGTTTGACATCATTCTTGGGATGGATTGGTTATCATCATTTCATGCCACCATTGATTGCTTCAGTGGTAGAGTTTCAGTGTATACGCCGGAGGGAGATTGTTTTGTGTTTGTGGGAGATCGGGGTGATTCCTTGGTTTCAGCTTGTTATGGTGTTCGTGGTTGGGACTGTTGTGATTTCTTCTTAGCTAGCATTTTAGCTGAAGAAAATGGTGATGTGGGGACAGTTTATCCGTCAGTTGTTTGTGAGTTCTTGGATGTGTTTCCGAATGACTTACCAGATTTACCTCCTAGAAGAGAGGTTAAGTTTGCGATTGACTTAATGCCTGGTACTGCACCAATTTCTATGGCTCCGTATCGTATGGCACCAGCAGAGCTGGAGGAATTAAAGATGGATGATTTGAGGTTGAAGGGTTTTATTCAGCCTAGTGTTTCACCATGGGGCGCGCCAGTGTTATTTGCAAAGAAAAATGATGGTCCTATGAGGTTGTGCATTGATTATTGAAAATTGAATCATGCAACCATCAAGAACAAGTATCCTTTACCGTGGATTGATGATTTGTTTGATCAGTTGAGGGGAGCTATTTGCTTTTCCAAGATTGATCTGAGATCTGGTTACTACCAGTTACGAGTTCGGGATGAGGATATTCCGAAGGCAGCTTTTTGTACGCGGTATGGTCATTATGAGTTCCTTGTGATGCCTTTTGGTTTGACGAATGCGCCAGCGGCATTCATGGATCTGATGCACCGTGTCTTTCATAGATATCTGGACCAGTTTGTGGCAGTGTTTGTGGATGACATTTTGGTGTATTCACGATCTCGAGAGGATCACGAGATCCATCTGAGGATAGTGTTACAGATGCTGAGAAAGCACCATTTGTATGCCAAGTATTCCAACTGTGAATTTTGGCTGCAAGAGGTGAAGTTTTTGGGACATGTTGTTTCGGATAATGGGGTGTCAGTTGATCCTTCGAAGATAGAAGCAGTTCTAGATTGGGAACGTCCCAAGAATGTGTATGAGATTCGGAGTTTTCTTGGCTTAGGGGGTTATTACCGCAGGTTTGTGAAGGACTTTTCTCGCTTAGCTGCTCCTATGACTCGGATGACCCGAAAGGGAATCAGATTTGATTGGACTGAAGCTTGTGAGTTATCTTTTTAGGAGTTGAAGACTAGATTGACTACAGCTCCATTATTGGTGATACCTGAGCGTGGCTTGGGTTATGTTGTCTTTTGTGATGCTTCTCGGGATGGTTTGGGCTGTGTGTTGATGCAGGGTGGTAAGGTAGTGGCTTATGGATCTAGACAGTTAAAGATTCACGAGCTTAACTATCCCACCCATGACTTAGAGTTAGCAGCAGTTGTTTTTGCTTTGAAAAGCTAGAGGCATTATTTGTATGGTGAGAGATTCGAGGTGTTCTCAGATTACAAAAGTCTCAAGTACCTTTTCTCTCAGAAGGACTTGAATAACAAGTAGAGGCGATGGGTTGAATATTTGGAAGACTATGATTTTGATTTGCAGTATCATCCGGGTAAGGCGAATGTGGTAGCAGATTCCTTAAGCTGGAAGTCTCGTGGAGTTTTGGCTGCGTTAGCCATTCGGAAATGAAAGTTGTTGGAGGATCTAGCAGAGATGGGATTACAGTGTTATGATGATAGTGTTGGTTATGAGTTAGCCTTTCTTTTTAGTCTTGTGGTTCAACCTACTCTTATTACACGGGTAATTGAGGCACAGAGACAGGACTCAGATTTAGCTATCATTCATTAGTTGATTTCAAGTGGGGACACAGTAAAGGACTGGACCTTACACACGGATGGTGGTTTACGGTTCAGAGGTTTGCTTGTGGTTCCTACGGTTTGTCGGGAGGATGTGTTACGGGAGTTTCACACTTCTCGTTTTACTGTGCATCCAGGTGGTACTAAAATGTATCATAATTTAAAACGCCAGTATTGGTGGAATGGGATGAAGGCAGATGTAGCTCAGTTTGTTGCCAGATGTCTTACTTGTCAGCAGGTAAAGGCAGAGCATCAGAGACCTGCAGGTTTGTTGTAGCCATTGCCAGTAGTACAGTGGAAATGGGAATGTATTGCTATGGATTTTGTGACAGGACTTCCGAGGTCACCAAGGGATAATGAGTCTATTTGGGTCATTATTGTCTGTTAAGGCGACAGATTCTGCTGAGGCACTTGGCAGATTGTATGTTAAAAAGATTGTCAGATTGCATGGGGTTCCATTGTCTATTGTTTCGGACAGGGATGCCAAGTTCACATCGAAGTTCTGGGAAGGGCTTCATGCAGCGTTTGGTTCACCGTTGCATTTTAGTACGGCATTCCATCCGCAGACGGACGGCCAGTTGGAGCGTACTATCTAGATCTTGGAAGATATGCTTCGGGCCTGCGTACTTGATTTTGGTGGTAATTGGGAGGATCATTTACCTCTTGTTGAGTTTGCCTATAACAATAGCTATCAGTCGAGCATTGAGATGGCTCCTTTTGAGGCATTGTATGGTAGGCCTTATCGTTCTCCTGTTTGTTGGACTGTGGTGGGTGAGACAGCTGCCTTAGGGCCAAACATTGTCTTGGAAACCATTGAAAAAAGTAAGATGATTCGGCAACGGTTGTTGACTACTCAGAGCCGACAAAAAAGTTACGCAGATAGACGGAGACGACCATTATCTTTTGAGGTGGGAGACCACGTGTTTCTCAAGGTTTCTCTATGAAAAGGATTGCTACGGTTTGGAAAGAATGGCAAGTTGTCACCTCGTTTCATTGGGCCATTTGAGATTTTGGACCGGGTGGGCGAGGTTGCTTATAAATTGGCATTGCCACCACTGATGGATAGGGTCCATAATGTGTTTCATGTTTCGATGTTGCAGAAGTATGAGCCGGATCCATCACATGTATTGAGTTGGGTTGATGTTGACATTGATGAGGACGTTTCTTACGAGGAGGGACCCGCTCAGATTCTTGACACTCGGGACAAAGTGTTAAGGGCTAAAACGGTGACTCTCGTGAAGGTTTTGAGGCGACATCACGGTATTGAGGAGGCAACGTGGGAACGGGAACAGGATGTTTGTTCTGCGTATCCGAGTTTGTTTTCTTCACCAGGTATGACTTGATTTCGAGGATGAAATCCTTGTATGTTGGGGAGACTGTGAGGACCTGCATTTTTATCATTTTTTCGAACATTTTAGCATTCATGCATTTTATTTTTTATTGTAAAAAATATGATTATTTTGTAAATGTGAATTAAACATCATTGTGTGTTAAGAAATATTATAGACTATGTTATGCAAATAGCATATTTGTCAATTAGTATTTCATAAAGGGCATTATGGACTTTTTGTTTTACAAATGGAATACATGGTATTTGATAATTTGATCAAGGGAAAAGTAGACTTTTACTATGCAAAATAGCATAATTGGCATTTGGTTAGTTGTGAAAGGGTATTCTTCACTTTTATCATGCAAATGGCATGAATGGTATTTAGTAGGAAATAAAAGGACTTTTGAGTCATTTCTTATGATTTTGGTTTTAATCCATGGAGGGGATGACATGTGTAGGTGTATGTGGTTGCACCATATCCATTCATTTTATAACATATAGTATGCCTAGTGTTTTGTTCTTAGAAACCATTTTGGCAAAACCCAATTTTCGTGCATTCTATTTCCTTTCCATAGTGATACATTTTAAGCTAAATTTTGGAAGCTTTGTGTTGGGATTTTGATGGGGCTTTGTGAAGGAAAAATGTTCCTTAGATAGTGAGGGTTCTTTTGATATCAAACTTGAGTCCATTTCTTTTGTTGCTAGGTTTGGAAAGGGGTGTTAAAAGAAGAGGGTTTTGGTTGCAAACAGAGGGTTTTGATCCATTTTTGGTGTGGTTTTGAATTGTTGAGCAAGTGTTCAAGCTTCCTTCGAGGTAGGATTGTCTAACCCTCAATTCCTTTGCCTTTAGTGAGTTATCTCTTTCAATTTGAGTTGCAAAGTGTATAAACAACCTAAACTGATGCTAAAACTGCTTGGCTGAAATTGCATGCTTCTATTCTACTCTAATTCATATAAATTCGTAATTTATCATGCAGAGCTGATTTGATATTATGATAATATAGTGAATTATCTTTCATTGAGAATTGGTTTCACATAAATTGGTTAAGAAATGAATTTACCATGAATTTTTGAAGTTAGAGGGTTCTTGCTGGGCATTCTGGGTTGGGGTAGATTCTGTCCGAGATTTTTTCATCAAACCTGCTTTAGATGGTACGGTATTTTGATAAATTAAAATTTTATCTTAAAAATATAGTATTTTAAATTTCAGTGGCCTTTGGATTCACTCCATTTGGATAAAAATTGAATTTACTATGAATTTTTGAAGATGGAAGCTACAGGCTGGAAATCAGTGTCTGACAGATTTTTATTTCGAAATTGTGGATTAAAACTGTTCCAATTGGGAAGGTATTTTGTTAAACTAAATTGACACTTTCAAAGTACATTGTTTAAGCTTTCATTAGGCTTTGTACTCACTCAATTTGACTTAGAATTGAATTTGGTATGAATTTTCAAAGATGGAAGCTACAGGCTGGAAATCAGTTTCTGGTAAATTTTAGTTCGAACTTTTGGGTCAAAACTGTTCCAATTGGGAAGGGATTTTGTTAAAATAAATTGACACTCTCAAAGTACATTGTTTAAGATTTGATTAGGATTCGGAATCACTCAATTTGACTTATAATTGAATTTGTTATGAATTTTCAAAGATGGAAGTAACATGCTGCATGTGAACTGTTTACTGTTTAGCCTTGACTTATAATTGAATTTGTTATGAATTTTCAAAGATGGAAGTAACATGCTGCATGTGAACTGTTTACTGTTTAGAAACTTCAGAACATGACACAAATGTGCATTCATCTTGCATGGTCATGGGGTTAAGGTTAGAATGGAAAGAGGAAGTGAAAGTTCAGTAAAATGATTTTGAAAACCAGATAACAGGGAGGTGCCTTATATCCGTGAGTTAGGAAAGTGGGATTGATTCAGTGATTTCAAAATTGGACAAGGAGTTTCCTTGTCTGTGTAGTTAATGGAAATCTAGAGAAGACGTAGGAGTTGCCTACACATAATTGTGTCACTAGGCCCCAAATGATTACAAGGAGTTGCCTTAGATCAGGGATAGATGATCAATTCTCTTCTCGTGGTACAGGGAGCAGCTCTGGCCAGATTACATTAACTTTTTGTAATGGAAATTGGATTTTGGGAAGTGAGAAGTGTCTGTGGCATTAGCATTAGCATCCGCATTGCATGGCACTTCATTTTACTATCCTACATGACATTATTTCTTTCCCGAGTTTATATGATCCCATTATCCTTTATCTATTCTTTGTTTAGATTCACGGAGGTATTAAGGAGTGCGCTTTAGGTAAATCCTGTTGAGCTGTGGTTGCTCATTCCTATCTTATTCACATCTTTTCAGGTCATAGCATGGATGGTGTGAAGGGTGTTCCTCCTCCGCTATAGACAGAGTCGGGGCTGGTGTTGTTATGTTATATTCCACATAATAGACTATGTTTTGTATTATATTTCCTAGAATTTTCCTAACATGTAATAAATTTTCTTTCAGACTTTAAAACTTTAAAGTTTTAATATTTGTATCTTATCTATTTATTTTCAGTCTTGATTTTATAAAGAGAAATAGATAGGTGGATGTGTGGTTCAGACAGGTTACAAGGATATTCAATGATTTTGAGACTGTGATTATTTGTGTGTTGTGTTCACAATCCGGACTACGGTCTAGGGGCGTGACATGCATGTCCATAAGCAAAAATATTCCCAAGTGCTTATAAGCCTCTAAGGATGATGAGCATCCGAGAACATTGTATCCTTACCTATTAAATAACCCACACAACTAGGATGAGTAATCAAGTTACTCGTAGAAAGAAGCATATGTGTGTACCCTAAAGTTTTAATGTCATTGCAAGATCAATATAGACGAATACAAGAGAGCATTCCACTTAACGTCTATGTTCAAGGTGTTCTAAGGAATCATCTTCAGCTAACTTAATTAATTCTATAACAATGCAACAACATTATCAATATAAATTTGAGGTTATTTGAAATTAATTTGGAATCTAGAGAATTTAATTATTTTTATTTAATTAAATTCTATCTAATTGCTCCATGGATTTAATTGTGTTTTGGAAGTTGTTTCTATGTTTAAATCATGAACTTATACTTGTTGTATATTCACTTGGTTACATTTTGAGCATTGGATACCATAGTTGTTATATTTATATTCATGAGAATTTATTTTTCTTATTGAATATATCATTGTCTTGTGTAATGAGTTGCACATTTTGTATTTGACATCTTTCATGCCATAGTAGATATGGACTTAGAACATGTATTGTATGTGTTTCCAATTTTAGTGTGCGTGGTAGATAGTTGATTATCTTGTATATACATGTTGATATATACGTTGTTGCACAACTTGTTGATTTTAGAAACTTGGGGATGTCATTGTTTAACTAAGGCTAGGACATGGTTCTAGTACGGGGGATTGTCCCTCTACAAGTCTAGTGCACACATGGGGAGGTTACCCGTGGGCTAGTAACCCTAAAGTAACTATGGTGTCAGTCTAATCCGGCTTGACGTCCAAGTATCCACCTGGTTTGATTTCGCATTACATTTCAAGTTGATAACTAGATGATATCATAACTTGTTGTTCCTTATTTGATTTCTGGTGTCTTCTCGGGCGGTGCACAAAACAATGCACAAAACTTTAAGTTTGGAAATTAGTGTCAAGTGGGCACAATAATTTAAATTTATAAATCGCTTAACACCTATACTATATAATATGAGTGAGAAAGGATCGTCCCAAGGGATTGAGTGTCGTACTAGGTTGAGGAATCAAAATTAGAGTTAGTAGGTCGAGTGAACAAAATAGTGGTTGGTTGGTTGAATTAAACTAGATGCAAATTAAATTAAAGTAAACAATAATGCAATAGAGAGAATAAAAGAGAGAGAGATCTTGGGGTTTAGAGATCACCACTAAGCATAGCTTTTCTACACCTTTAATAAATGATTAATGAGGGGAAGAACATGTATTACAACAAAGTGTGTGTGAGTGGTTGTTTCAACAAGCATGGATGACAAAGTAACGACCCAGTCATTTGCCTTCCTTTCCTTTTTCTTGAAATTTTACGAATGAATTTTTTTCGTTTAATTATCTTTTCTGAGCTCTATTTCTTGTCGCTTAGTGTCATCTCGAGTGCTCGAAAATGGTTTTTGAGACTCTTTTCCGTGGATTGACAACTTCCTTTGAGGACCAAGTCATTTCTGCGTTTTCACTTTTCGAACACTGTGCGTCTTTCATCATTTTCCTTGTTTCGTCTTTTTCCGTATTCTGTCTTATCTCCATTGGTCAGTTTTTGGCACAACCTCACTTCTCATGCTCGGAGTTGGTTTTTGACTTCACATGCCTTCATCTTGAGTGGTTTCTTCGAAATACGTATCTTTACTTTTGCAAGAAAGTACTCTAGTTACTCCGGGTGTCCACAGGGGCATAGATGCACAATTCTTCAGAATCTTTTTCATTTCTTGGGGTGTTTTTTACAAATATCTTTTGAAGATATTTTATTTCAGGGGCATCTAAGAAAATATCTTTTAGAAGATATTTTCATTCTGGGGCAGTTTCGCAGTTACCCCTTTTTGTAGGGGCCATTATGCAATTAATGAAAGTTATTGCAAAATGTCTCGTCTGGAGCCTGAATCCTCGTACGGGATTCATTTTCACATTTTGTCGAGTCGTGGACTCTTAGAATTCCGTTCTGGTCATTTTTCTCCAGTTTCAAAGTTTCTGGACACAGTTGCTGCCGAACTTGTTCCGGGCATAACTTTCTGTTCGGGACTCAGTTTTTGATGCTGTTTCTTCCATTATTCATATTTTCTCATTTTGACTCTTTTTTGTTCATGGAGTTTTTCTGTTTGAGCGCGTCTGCTCAAAATCCACTTTTCCAGACCTGGCGGGGCCCTTTCGGGGCAGTTTTTGAGACTTACTATAAATAGGATGCCCTAAAGTGAAAAATCAGATTTTCACTCTTCTTCTCCACCTCTTGGCTGGAAGCCATGGAAGCTCCTTGGCTGCCACCCTTTGACCTTCTCCTCCACTTGATTTGCTAAGTGAAATCTCTTCGGCCTTTACGTTTATCGCTCCCCTCGACGTGATCTACCATTCCCCTCGACGTGATCTACCATTCCCCCTTATTTGAATTCATTTCTTACCATTTCTTGAGTTTGGGTTAAGAGTCAAGTTTGGATTTTCATGGGGCTTCTTGGAGATTCATATAGATCGTGTTGTCCCCGACAAAACCTAGGAGTTTTGTCGGATTCTGAGCCGTTTCAATTTGGTGGGGATTTGGGATTTTCCACCCAAATTAAGGTAGGAGGTGTTATAGGTTTAATTCTTGTTATATAACATGTTATTGATGCTTCTACAACTTGATTGCATACTTAAATATGAAACCTAGAGATTTTATTATTTATTTTTCTGTTACGGGATCTGATTTTTCCGGTTGCTCATAACTTGGTTTGAACATGTAGTATGATTTTATATTGCCCCTTGATATGCTCATTGTCGTGTATAAAAATTGGAACATTTGAATAAGTATTAAAGAATTTATTTAATATTTATCTTAGGTGAAAGATTAATTCACATGGTCTTAACTAGCTTAAAATTAATATGTGTTAGCATATTATATCAGGCCTTAGCATGCTCTTCAACATAGTTGAATCTGAAAATAATTGGAGGTGTTTTGAAAATTAGTAATTATTAATTAATTTGCCCCGAGTGCACTATTCACTCTATTTAAATTCCGACTTGATATTCTTGACTTACATGCTATATAGTTTCACATATATTTGATTTAGAATATTCGGTTAGATTTTTAAACAATTTATTTAATTAAATTCCTTGTTTAAGATTTAATCCTCATGGTGATATACAACTTGGACTTAAATTGTGGCATGCTAGAAAATTAAGCTTAGGTATAGTTGTTCACATGTATTAATTTGGGACTATTAGAAGTTATTTTAGAACCTTGGGATTTAAATTAGCATGATTTAATTAAAGTTCTACCTTGTTGTTCTAACAACCTAATTGAGTTTTAGAATGGACATAGGTGACGACCTTGCCATATCCTTTAACATGTGTTAAATTGAGGTTAATTGGAATTGAATTAGAATCTATAGAATTTAATTGTGTTTATCTATTTAAATTCTATCAATTTGCTCCATGATCTAGTTGTGTTTTAGAAGTGGTTTTTATATTCAAATCATGGACTTAGAGTTGTTGTATATTCATTTGGTTATGCTTTGAACATTGGATAACATAGTTGTTATGTTTGTACTTATGAGAATATGTTTTCCTTATTGAATATATTGTTGCCTTGTGTAATTATTTGCACATTTCGTATTTAACATCTTTCATACATAGCGTGTAACAAATTGCACACTGAAGATTCGACATTCATCATATCATATTAGTTGTGGATTTAGAGCATGTATTGTATAGGTTTCCAAATTTGGTTATGTTTGGTAAATAGTTGATTATCTTGCATATTCCTGTTGATATATGCGTTGTTGCACAACTTATTGATTTTGGAAACTTGGGGATGTCGTTGTTTGGCTATGGCTAGGACGTGGTTCTAGTACGGGGGATAGTCCCTCTATATAGTCTAGTGCGCACATAGGGAGGTTACCCATGGGCTAGTAACCCTAAAGTAACTATGTTGTTGGTCTGATTCGGCGTGACGTCCGAGTATCCACTTTGTTTGATTTCGCATTTCATTTTCAAGTTGATAACTAGATGATGTTGTAGCTTGTTGTTCCTTATTTGTCGTTCCATTTTAAGTTACACGATGTTAACTTTGCGAAATTGTGATTTATGCGTTGTATTGGGAGTTCCAATGTTGGTTAAATTGCATCGATATTGAAAATTATGTTTTGACGTTCTAACAAAGCTTAGGATTAATCTTATTGATTCATTTAGAACTTAGACGATAGGTGGCATGAACCACTACCGTTATTTTGAGCTTTAGATTCGAAGTTAATGGCTTTGAGAACTTATACCTTGTTGCATTGTATAACATGCTCTTTTGTTGTTGAATTGCATGGATAATGTGATTCTTGTTAACTTGTATTCAAATATACTTTTGTCATGTTGAATGGATTACTCTAGACCTAGTTCAATTGTATTGAAAATGCAATTCATGTTAATCTATGCTCAAGCATTCTTCTTGTTGTGCTCTTTGGATTATCCCAACCATGATTCGTTTCGTACACGTATGTATATCACAATTCTTGTCGCTTAGACTCTAAGGTAGCTTAAGATGCTCCCAGAGTCTCACTTGGACATAGACGTTAGGTGGCATGAGCCCCTTTAACATGTTTCACCTTAAGGTCATAAATTTGTAAAACGTAGGTCGATGCATGCGTATTTCCTACGAGTAGCTTTATGTTACTCACCCCTATGATACTAGGGCATATTTCAGGTAGAAGAATCAAAGTTAAGGTCTTCATTATGCTTGGATGGTTTGTGAACTTGGAGACTTCCATTTTTGGTGAAGGTTGGCTTGCAATGCCAATTATAGTCTTATACGT